TTCTTGATGTTTTCTGGGTAAAAGGTGTTGGTGTACGAGTCTTTTGAGGATCTAAGGCATAAAATAATAGACGGTGGTCAAACCATAAGAGGTCTTGAATGGTATGCTATGAAGTATTATTATTACTCTGGAAATAAGTAGAAGTTATGGACAACATTGGATCAAAGTTTAGCGTGACTGCCAGAATGAAATCTGGGTTAGAGGGGAGCTTGGAGACACGTATGTCTAGAGAGTTCAGGAAGGATAAGGTACTCAAAGAAGCGGGCTAGCACTAAAAGCAGCCAAAAAAAGGAAATATAAGAAAGTTGACTAAAGTTTTCCTCCAAGGGCCATAAGATGGACTTTATCCCCCTCATACACCTGACAAAGCCTTTGCCTTCTTTAGTTCATGAAACAAATTTGCAAGAAATTATATAACTGCAGGACTGAGTCTCAGCTGACTGCAGATTTAAAATGGTGAATTCTCTTTTCTGATGTCTCAGTTTGTTGGCCATGAGTGGACTGAATCCCATACAGCCAGGAGAATCTGCTTCCAAGATTTACTCGCCCCTAGGAAATGACATATGCAAGTCCAGATCTCTTAGAAGATCGGAAATAATTATTTGGAGAAAAGAAAAGAAAAGAAAGGAAAGGAAAGGAAAGGAAAGGAAAGGAAAGGAAAGGAAAGGAAAGGAAAGGAGAGGAGAGGAGAGGAGAGGAGAGGAGAGGAAAAAAAATGTATGATTTCTTCCTGGAGTACTAAGTTTCCTGGTTCTATTTAGAAGACATTATAATTTAAAAATGTACGCCCCCATCTTTTCAGGAAGATTTCTACTGTATAATGTGACAGACTCCTGAAACATTGCTTTTAGTTTATTCAGAGCTGGTGCTAAGAATATGAAGATGAACCAAATGTTGTTCCTGCCCTTAGGGAGCCTGGTGTCCAGCACAGGGCACAGACATGGAAGTGATAGATTGAAGGTTTTGTGGTGACAGGAGTGGGCACAGAGAGGAGACGCATCCTTGTCTGCCTGGGAGAAGAAAACAGAGCTTTGCAGGAGGATAAAGACAAGCCGTCTATGTCACAGTGGTGGAGATGCATTTGCCATATGGTGACCATATTTTCTGAATCAAAAATCGAGATGCATGATCTGACACAAGGTTTGATGATGGGACAGAATTTTTGAAATCAAGGCTGTCCGAGGAAACCCAGGACATATGGCCGCCATAACCAATCATTACTGTGCACACAGGGGGCATGGTTTGATCCACGAACAACCAAAGCCAGAATTCAAGCAGGCAATTTATGTCAATGCTTGACTCCATATGTGGCAAGCTATATTTTCTGACCCTATCTATTGGCCTGGCCACGGCTGGACACTCATTCATTCAGAGCAATCCTAAACAAAGTTGGGCATGCCGGAATGTAGCAGACTTTAGAAACTACCTGGTCCAAACTGCACCTTACCATGCCAGTGGAGAAACTGAGGCTCAGAAAGGGGAAGTGACACCCTCAAAACTATGCAGAACAGAGCTGGGTCTGTTCTGCTTTTTCTTCCCTTCACCAGGGCTGGATTTGAGGGACGCAGCAGAAAAGCCCATGAATTGAGAGAAAACCTGACATGCCAGCCTTGGTGTCACTAAGGCCACAGTCAGCAGATTCACTCCTGACTGAACAACCAAAGTGTCATATTTGATGGCCTTGAGCTCAGATCTCTCCAGAATATTGATGAGGCTGCCAAGCTGAATGTGAGAATGCCAGGCTGTTTAAGACGCAAAGGAGGTTGTTGTAACACGATTTGTCAATGCCAAAGAGTTCGAAGGACTCTGAGTCTTCAATATTATATTCTACTGATCTTTCTCCATTGGTGGTGAAGCTATAATGAAAAGAGAAAGCTCATAGAAATAGAGTGAGGTATTCACGTACGCGCATTCAGGAGAGAGAGCCGAGTCCCGGCCGGACAAGTGGAAGATCAAAAGTCCTCCTGCCTTTCCCCAAGATGGCACTGGAGAGGGAACCCACCTGACAGCTACACCCATTGATTTTGAATCTCTGGTCGTTCTGACTTGGGAAGAGGCTGAGCTCCAGACGTACATGCTGCCAAGAAACACTTAGTGCCTTCACAGCCAAAAAAAATGTAACACGCCTGCCCAGCATGTGAGAAGGGCAAAAAAAGAGAAGTGGTTTTTCTTCTGGGGCTGACAAAACCCAGCCCAGAACGCTGAGATTAAAATGCATGACAGGCATTCTCTCCCTGATGCGGGTCTGGACTGGAGAAATAATTTAGAAGAACTGATGGAATGACCTATGCTTGGCATGCATGCCTCTTCCTCTGGAATTCCGGCATAGTCCCACCTCTGGGATCCAGAGCTGGTTGTGGGCATGTGGTCCAAGCTGGGGATCACTCATGTGTTTTCCTTCCTTTCCTCTCCTCTCCTTTCTCTTCCTTTTCTAGTCTTTATTTTTCTCTACTCATCTCATTTGTTGTCTTTTGTGTTTCCTCTCTTTTGTTTTCTTTTCTCTTCTCTTCCATTTCTTTCCATCCCTTCTCTTTTCCTTCCTGCCTTCTCTTCTCTCTTTTCTTTTCCTTGTATTTCTCCCCATCTGAGATAACATATAATGATGCAAATTAAATATAAATTGCTTTGTGCCCAGATGGTGTTGGGATCTGAGACGCTCTCCCAGCTTACTGATCGTTCTTAGCCATCCATTCAATATTTTCATCCATCTACCCGTCCTACCCATCACCATCTCCTGCCATCCTCCCAGCCAAGCATTTATCTATCCTTCTCTTCAATTCACATCATCAAGAGGCATTTCCTGAATCACCTATAAGCACCAGGCACCCAACAATACGCTATGGCAACAGAAATAAATATGACCTCGACCTGGAATTTGAGAAGTCACCCAGTCTAGGAGGCAAACTTATAATTATTATTCAGTAAATGTCTGATAAGGGCACAATCTTCAGTCCATCAGTCTATTCTGTGCAGTCTTTTTTTTATTTATTTTTAGAGACAGGGCCTCATTTTGTTGCCTCAGCTGCAGTGCAGTGGCACTATCATAGCGCACTGCAGCCTTGAATCTGGGCTCAGGGGATCCTTCCTCCTTAGCTTCCCAAGTAGCTGGGACTGCAGGCATGTGCCACCATGCCCAACTAATTTTTTGATAATTTTGTAGAGAAGGGTCTCACTATGTTGCCCTGAATGGTCTCAAACTCCTGGGCTCAAGTGAACCTCCTGCCTTAGTGTCCCAAATGCACTGAGATTACAGGCCTAAGCCACTGCACCCAGCCTCGATGTACTCTTTAGGTGGATAGGAGTTAGTCCTCTGAAGGGGAGTGAAAACACCAGCTCTTTAAGTTGAAGGAGCACATAGGAGGTGCACATAGGGTGACGATGAATTGTCCTGAATTGCCTGGAACTGAGGGGATTCTTGGGATGCAGAACTTTCAGTTTTAAAGCCAATACAGTCTCAGACAAACCAAGATGGATTGGTCACATTGTGTATGCATTGGTCTGTGTGGCAGGCATAATAACAGCCACCCAAAGGTGTCCAAATTCTAATTTCTGGAATCCTCAAGTATGTCACCTTATAGGCCAAGAGGGACTTTGCAGATGTGATTAAGTAAAGGATTTCAAAATGGGAAGATTATTCTGGACTACAAGTGTCCTTATAAGTGAATGAAAGAAGGGGGTGCGAGTCAGAAAAGGAGATGTGCTACGGTAGCAGAGGTTAGAGTGATGCAGTTGCTAGAAGTGCCCCACAGCCAAAGCAAGCAGGTGACCTCTAGGAGCTGGAGAAGGCATGGAACAGATTCTCCCCCAGGGCCTCCCAAAGGAACACAGCCCTTCTGATGTCTTGATTTTAGATCCATGAGACCCATTTTGGGCTCTGACCTCTAGAACTTTAAGACAATAAATGTGTGTTGTTTTGGCCACTAAGTTTATGGTAACTTGTTACAGCAGCAATAGCAGACTAATACACTCTGCTTTCCAAAAAATCCCCCAAAGAGTTGGATGCAGGTTGCCTTGCTGCCTTTCCATTGCACCAGGGCAGATTCTGGTTTCTCCCAAAATACCATTCCTTTATTAATGAAGGAGGCAGTGTGGGAAGTATTGAGAGCACATTGAAACACAACCATTTACTTATCATCCTGCTTAAGCTGGAGCATTAGAGTGGGAATCCAGATGCTTCAGCTGCATGTTTGGCTCTGTCTTTCCTTGCTCTGTCAGCTTGGTCTACCTCCCTGGAATCTCGGTTCTTACTTATCTCAAAAATGAACTAAATAATACAGAATTATCATCTCAAATGTATGGACTTTGGTAACGTTCTTAAGTGATCATGCATTCGTAAAGTGTTTGTGACTGAGTCCAGAGCATATGCGTTTTTGGGGGGTGACATCACACCCAAGAGAATTAAAATGGATTCTTGGAGGAGGGGCTCTTACTGTTTCTATGTTTTAGAAACAGGTGTACAGATGATACATAACTGAATACACAGTATACCTGTGATATGGAAGTTTCATGGGGTGGTGACTAGGAAACGTGTCACACGTCTCCTTCCAGGTATGCTAATGGCAAAGAAAAAGGCTGAGAATCATTTGTCTAGTGATTGTACTACCTGTTGCTATTTGATAACGTGTGTTCAAGGACACGGGCAAGATGATGAAGCAGAGGAATCTCAGGAACTTTCTGGAGTTCGATGAATATAAATCCAATTCTTCACATGGTTGTAGATCTGTGCCACTCTGAGATCAGTCTCTTTATCTATGACAGAAGATAGAACTCTCCTTAGGTGGTTGTTGGTATTTCATTAGATAAGGCAGAGAGAGATACAGATATACAGGCAAATACAAATTGGCACAGGGCCTGGCCTTCAATGATGTGTCTCCCCTTTTCTTCCTCATCTTTTTGCTCCTTACAAAATGTCATCATGGAACCATTTCTTCACTGCCCACCCCTTACTGTTGTGCCCCCTACCTGACACATACTTTTGCTTGTAAATTGAATCAACATATGGAAACATCTAGCTTTATTTCATTCCCTGATTAGTGGAGCGCCAAACATGTGTGTTTGATTACTCTGGAGCCCAGGGCGCAGATAGCACTGGAATAGTTTGACCCCTTTGGCCAGGGAGAAAAATTAGGCCCAAGGGGTGGGCTGGCCAAGCTGCCTCTGTACTGCAACGTGGTCACAGGGTTCCTCGCACCTTCCATCAGGCCACAGTCCAAATGCAGAGGGAGCCGAGGGTTTAGCATAGAGGTCGTTCCACTGGGTCGGCTTCTGTTACGATCAGTTTGTCTTCAGAGACAGTGCCAGTGCTTCCAGAGACAGACTTTGTGCTTACCATCCCATCTTCCCACACTACGAAGTAATAGAAGAAAAAAAGTGTTCTACGGCCTGTTGCTGTTAGGATAAAGATTCCATGTCATGCCGTAGTGTTCTTTTAATGAATACCTCCAGGGAGAAAAAATAAATCTCCAGGCTCAATAGAGGGGAAAGAAAGGCTTCTTAAGGACATTTTCCCCTTTTTATCTGGCGAGCATCATGCACTGGAATTCATCATGTTTCCTTCTGCGCTTGGGCTGCCAGGAAACTCAGAGCCAAATTTGTGTTATAGTCCTAACATCTGTACAAAGCCTTTCTGATATTTTTTATGTTTTTATGTTTGATTTGTTCTTTGTAACTTTATCTTCTCGGTTGCTCCTGGTTCATTCCCAGAATCCTAGTGGGCTGATGTGCTCTCTGGGTAACTAACACCAGTGAGTATTCCCAGAAGATGTCTATTGCTATTCTCCCCGCTTCCCTCAGTTCTGAACCCACTAAGGATTCACAGTCCTGCCTTTTTTCACCAAACATTAATATCACACTTACATTGTGATCCAGAAGTCATGACCCACAAGGGACCACTTGGACCTTGTTTCTTATTTGATACCTAACTCCAGGAATTGCCTCTTTAAAGGCACTGGGTGAAAAATGATGGACCAGGCTCAAGGAAAGAAAACCTAGTCAAAGTTCAGGTAAAAAAATATGTTTTGACCACTTAATCTAGGTATTGTGGAAATCAAGATGCATGGACTGTCGTTCTGGAGCCCACAGTCTCACTGGGGTGACACGCAGGGAACAGTTAGTGTAGCACAGTCTCCTAAGTGCTGTGGCAGAACAGGTGCAATGGAGCACTGGAAACAAGAGGGAGATCAGTGTTGCAGATCCCAGGGAATCAGGCAATGCTTCCTGGAGGAAGTGGCATTTGAGCTTAATTGTAAAAGGCAGGCAGTTGAAAACTCATGTCCACATAGAAAGCTGCACACAAACATTCATAGAAGATTTTATTGATAATTGCCAAAACTTAGAGGCAATCAAGATGTTCTTCAATAGGTAAAGGAATAAACAAACTGTGGTACATCTGTGCCATGGAATATTATTCAGCAATAATATTGATATGGAGGAAACTTACATGCATATTATTAAGTCAAAGGAGGTTAAAAATCTATATGCGTTCTGATTCTAATCAAAAGATATTCTGGAAAAGGCTGAATTATCCAGAAAGTAAAAAAAAAAATAGTAGTTCTTAGGGGTTTGTTGGCAAGGAGGAAGGGATAGAAAAAGAGAGAGAGAGTGAAAGAGAGAGGGAAGACAGGTGTGCAGAGTACAAAGGTGGTCAGTAAGGAAGGACATTCCAGTTGGTGGCAATCATAGAAGCCAAGGCATAATACTGTGAAAATGCAGAACCTGATTCAATCAGGACAGGTTAGGCTGTGTTGCAGAAACTAAAACACAAGAGAGGAATAAGGGGGATGAGGCCAGTAGCAAGTGAACCAGTTCACAGAAACCTGAATTTTGTCCTTGTGACAATGGGGAAGGTTTAAAATAACTTAAGCACAAGCATGCGATGGCCACATTTATTGGTCACTGCCACCAAGAAGCTGTGGACTTACACCTGCAGCTTTGCCTACTTCCCCTACTCCTCTTCCAAGCTCAGTCAGTGGAGAGTAACACGATCAAGTACACTTTTTAATGTCTAGTCTGTGAATATAGTTCATCAATGGTGCCCAGGGGCAGCCTGGAGCCAGACCGTATGACAGTCAATAAAGACCAAAAGTATAGCTCAGTGAAAACAGAAGCATTTACTGGACAAAGTGTAGAAAACTGCACATTCTCTCGTTCTCTCTCTCTCTCTCTCTTTCTCTCTCGCTCCCCCCACCCCCATCTTCTTTCTCTCTCCTACCCTCTCACTCTTCTTCCTGCCCCCCCATAACAATGTTTTAGGTTTGGTTTATTATTCCCATGCATTGACAAAACTGAGGCTGATTGCCATGAAGCAATTTTGCCTAATGTGAGAAGAAAGTGAGCCCAGGTCATTGGGCCCCAAATCCAATGCTTTCTATTTGAACTGCTTTCAAACTTGCCAATCACCTCTATTCATCAAATCTGAACTCTTTCAGCCTCTGCTAAAGAGGTCATTTATTGGCACACTGAATACCACTGTGGAGAGGGCTAGAACAGGTGTGCCCTGGCCATCAGGTCACTACAATTATTATATATAGACTTCTGACTTCTGCATCCATGATCTCACAGCAGCATCAATTATTGTTACCCATATGTGTTATTAATAGCTTCCTAAGGCTGATATAACAAAGTACCAAAGCAGGGTGGTTTAGCAAAATAGAAACCTGCTCTCTCATAGTATGAAGGCAGAACTCTGAAATCAAGGTGTCAGCAGGGTTACTTCCTTTGAGGACTGTGAGGGAGAATCCCAGCCATGCCGCTCTCCTGGCTTTGGGTGTCTGCCGGCAATCCTTGGTATCCTTGGCTTGCAGCTGCCGCACTCCCGGTTCTGCCTCCATCCTCACGTGGCCTTCTTTTTTGGGATCTCTTCTATGTCTGCGTATGTGCAATCTCGCTTTCTTTTCTCATACAAGGACACCAGTTGTTGGGCTTAGGGTCCTATTCTAAATCCAGATGACCACAATTACTTCTGCAAAGACCCTATTTCCAAATAAAGTCACATTAACAGGACTTGACCATATCTCTTCGGGGGACATAATTTAACCTGATACTGCATAGACGAGCAAGAGGAGTTTTCACGAGGTTCAGTGACTCGTCCTAGCACACAGCTAGGAAGTAAGGGAACATTAAGACAGAAGATCAGCTCCTTCTACCACAAATCCAGGCCCCTCCTGTCTCTAGGTATCAAGGTCATTATCTTTGAATGAAACCCTTGGTTTACAGACGTACATACAACATTCAGAGCCAAGGAGAATCAAGGCTGAGTTCCTTGGAACTTGGAAAAAGAAACACCTTTCTTATTCTACAGTGTGTTTATTGTGTCTTGCTGTGTAACAAACCCCCAAAGACTTTTTGGATTAAAACAACAAACATGTTTTATCCCCCAGGTTTTGTGGGTCAGCAATTCCAGGTTGCTTAGCTTGGACATCTGCAGCCAGGTTACCCCCAGGCTACCATCAAGGTATCAGCTAAACCTGCAACCATCCCAAGGCTTGACCAGGAAAGGGTCGGCTTCCAGGCCCACTCATGGGGCTGCTGGAGGGCTTGGTTCTTCCTGGGCTGTTGGTCTGAGGGTCTCAGTTCCTTGCTTGTTATTGGGTAGAGACTGTCCTCAGTTTCTGGTCACCCGAGGCCTCCACAGAGCAGCTTGCTCACTCAGCCAGAGAAGGGATGGAAGAACAAAAGCATGTCACCATCTACTGTCACCTAATCTGGGACCTGACATCTCAGTCATTACGCCACCAAGCCTGTCCCACACTCAAGAGGAAGATATTACACAAGGGTGTAAATACCAAGAAGCAGGGATCACTGGACATCACCTTAGAGACTGGCCACCAGACAGAGCCACAAAAGTAGACCCTCCTTGTCTATGGATGGAGTGATGGGAAGATGTGAGGAACAGAGCCACGGCAATCATTTCGCTGCAGTGTAAGTAGAGCTGGGGATTTTGAAGAAGGTATGGCATGGAGACTGAGGACAGGGTCAACACCAAGGGATACAGAAAGAACAGTCTTAGAAGAACCAGGTCCTTGATGATATGATTAAGTCTCTTGTTCAGCCTCCCCTGCAGCCAGAAACCTGTGAAATGTTCAGGTAAAACATGAGATAATAAATGCCACGGACAGAAAGTCCTAACAGATGCATGACCCCACATATAAATATGGCCAAGGTAGTGAAAATAACCTCCTGAAGTTGTTTGCCTCTGGATACAAGCCGTGTTTATCATTCATCATCATTTGCTCACACGTGATTCATATCCGTACTGTGAGCTGGCCTGGGGTGACCATCCACAAGCTCAGGGCTGGGTTTCTAGCTGCATCCATATTCCCTTTATATGGAAGAACACCTCATATTTTATTAACAGCCCCGAAGTCAAGAATCTGATGAGGTTAAGGTCTGTCTACACCTGAGCACACAGCCAAAACCCCCAAATCCCAGGGACTATTCATTTCACTGTGTTCGCAGGTGGGTTTTTAACAAAATTAGTAATGAGATCTTGCCTCCAAATCCCTTTTCCCTGGTGAATTCACTGGGGGAAAATCAGCTGGTCTTGGGGGAGGCTGCATGGCCTGTTTTTTTCAACTGATGTTGAAATTCTACCATCTCCCAGCTCTGCCCTTCCACCCGCACCCACCCACACAGAGACAACTAACCATTAACCTGTCTTTTCCCATTTCACTGAAGAATTTGCGAGCACAGGCTCAGCACCCACCCTCTCTCTCTGACTTCCTCAGACTCCAAACAGCACTTATAGAAAGTCAAAGTGTAATTGTGGAGATGTATTTGTGCTCTGGCCTTTTCAACATTTTGAGAATCACACACTGTGGGGTCCCCCCAGCCCTGCCCTTCTCCCTATCCCATAAACAATGTCTGATCTATAGCCTTTGAAGTAGGTTTCTGATGGGAATTGCAGGTGATGGAGCCACCTTCTGCTTCAGGGACCTCCCCCATTCCCGGGTGGACACCGCCTCCCCCACAACCTGCTCTGCGTCATGCATAGAGGGAAGCAATAACTATTCCCTGGAGATGCTGTATCTGATTCATAAGGAAGAAAAGGGATTTGGGTGGAAGATAATAGGAAGGATTTTGTTTTGTTTTGTTTTTTTCTCTTTTCACATTTTATTTCTAGAAGTTTAACGACTAGTTATCAATGTTCCGTTTTATTTATCTACTTTCAAAATTTAATGAATACTTCTGGCTATAATTACCTAATTTTTATACTTAAAATGACTGGACACCTGTAGTTTGGAGCACGTTGTATTCCAGCGTGATGGCTTATGGTATCAAGTGCTGCGTATATATGGATTAATCAATAAGCAAATTCAATTCTTATGAGGTGCAGTTCATTCTTTAAA